CTGTCCCATAAACCCTTGAAACAACTGGTATTTGCTTGCTTTCCCTTGGGAAAAATCTTACGGGAAGGGAGGCATTTATTAACTGTCTTATGGCCCTTCTCTGTTCTCACACACAAAAATTCCCTTTTCTCCTTATAGAAAAATCTCCAATAATGATTAAAACCATGGGCTGCTGAGAAAATTCAGTGCTGCTTGGGTTATTCAGTAACTAAACTGAATGGATTGGGGAGAGGGAGGGGCTGGGGTGTTAACAAACCTGCTGAAAAAATACTGTTTCAGAGGAGACCAAAACTATTGACAAATTGAGGCTGTATATTGGCTGAATAGTTTTGGCTGAAAAAAATGTAGAAATATTTCAATTTTTAATATCAGCATGGTGTTTTTGTATTAAAAATTGGTCAATTAAAAAGAGTGGGGGAGGGTAAGACCAGGGTTCCATAACCAAATAATTAAATGAGAGGTTTTATTAAACAAAGCATTTTGTTTGAACAGAAATATTTTTTTTCATCTATATCTTTTTTGGTTTGGCCACCAAAGTAAAAAAAAACAAAAACAACACCCCATAGTTGCCTAGTTCTATTGGTGATTTACAGGTATCATCTTGCTTAGGCATTGCAATTTGCATGACTCAAAATTGGATACCATGAAGCAGAACAATTAGTAAAGCTCTTTAATGTTGCTACTGCAGCCCTGGCACTTGACCTTTGCAGGGAAATTTGATAGAATTGTCACTTGTATGGATTCTTTCCTAAACATGGCGCTGTCCTGTTCTGCATTTCCCCTAGCCATTCCATTGGGTATAGTTTCATTTTGTATTTTGTGGAGATTGAAAAATGCAAACAGAGGAAAAATGAGGAAATAAAAGAGCTGTGCAGATATTAAAACTCTAATTGCAGCAAAGTTGGAGAAGCCTAAGTGCAGAATGAACTGTTGTTACCTGTGGGTCAACTCGTTTCATCAGGTATAGAAGTGCAACTCCATTCATTGTACTGCCTAGGACTTTGGGCAAAAAACTGGCCATGTGCTTTTCCCATTATTTTTTTTGAACATGCACAATGTGGATTTAAAATACTGTCAAAGCATTCCCCATCCTAGTGACTCCTAGCACTCTAAGAAAACCCTATAGCCACAAGCAGTGACTTCTGTAGATGTCCAAACACAGCACCCCATGGCTTGTCAGGTTCTTACCTCTATCACAGCCTCTGGCAGTTGTTTATTAGGACTGTGCGAAGCTTTAGTCCCTGATTCGATTTGGCTCGATTCAGTGGCCGAATCTCTGAATCTGAATCTAATCAGTGGACCATTTAATCTCTCCGAATCGATTTGGAGAGATTCAGTGATTCAGATGTAGATACAGCTTTAAATGTTTTTTATACATACCTCTAGGTAGCAGGGGCTCTGAATGCTGTGATACTGGGGCAGATGCAGTGTCCCACAGGAGCACAGGGGGCTCCCCAGCGCGTTTGGCAGCAGACCCGGAAGTGGACCAGAAGCACTTAGGGTCCGCTTCTTGGTCCACCAGGGAGCACGCGGGCGGGGCCATGCCTCTTTCCCCCCCCCCCCCCCCCCCCCACCCCCGCCCCCGGCCCCCTCAGGGGCTCTGAATGCTGTGATACTGGGGCAGATGCAGTGTCCCACAGGAGCACAGGGGGCTCCCCAGCGCGTTTGGCAGCAGACCCGGAAGTGGACCAGAAGCACTTAGGGTCCGCTTCTTGGTCCACCAGGGAGCACGCGGGCGGGGCCATGCCTCTTTCCCCCCCCCCTCCCCCCCCGATCTCGGTGCCTGGTACCTCTTGGGTCTGGGGGGGCACCCAAGGTCCCCCTGTGGCTGATCACCGGGTTGGGAGGATGCAGGGGGGGGCCCCCGCATGCTCCCCGGCAGACCCAGAAGTGGACTGGAAATACTTCCAGTCTGCTTCTGGGTTCACTGCTGAACATGCTGGAGAGCCCCCCCGTGCTCCTGTGGGCCACTCCATTCACCCCAGCACTGCAGTGTTCATGAGCCATACTGCTACCTCAAGGTATGTAGAAAAAAACTTTTAAAGTTGTGCCTGTGTCTGAATTGCTGATTTGCCAGATCAGCATTGAATCTTCAGATTCTTTATGAGCCAGGTTTTCAGATATAGCCTGTAGAGTTTTTAATAAGCTGTTAGGCTGCTTAATAGGAAGGTAAATTAATTTAAATTAGGAATAAGTTAGGCTTAGAAGCAAGGCTAAGAGCAGTAGAAGCAAAGGAAGTGGTAACAGATGAGAAAACATTATAGAATGTAGCATGGGCGCCTGGTGCTGCCTTAGTCCGGGGGGGCATGTGCCCTGACAGCGACCAGTCAGCAACTGGGGGGATTCCCCATGGCCAGCCGCACTGACCAGGGGGGTGGGGTGTCCCCCTGCAGCAAAACCTACCAACAGTTGAGTGGCTGCACTGCTCCCGAAAGCAGCTGTGGTGTTCCTGGCGCTCGCGCTCCCCGGCCAGTGCTTGCAGTGGGGGCACCGGTGCTCCCGCCTGCCCCCCTGCCTGTCACTTGAGCAGGGAGTACGGCTTGACAGGGGGTGCACCGGCGCTCTGTGTCGCCACTGGAATGTAGGTGACAGATTGGCTAAACTACGTAGCTCAGCTCTGGGCCACATAGGCTAAGTACAGGCAGTCAAAAAACCTGAGGCTGAATTGATTCAATCTTGACAGGTTAATCTAAACTGTGTAGATTGAACTGATAAACAAGTGAACAGACATTCACTTTTGATTCCTCCACTTGGGGCTTGTTGGGGAGGTGCAAAGCATCCTGGGATGCTGGAGGACTGTGCGCTAACTTGAATATGGAGGGGAATTGGGATAGAAATTCAATAAACTGATTTAACCTAAATCAGTTAAGACTGATACTATGTCCATCTAGGTTTATCTTAAAATGGTTTGGGGCATTTTGAAAGTGGTTTATGTGGACTGAGTTTCTGTTGTGTTACAGATTTGAGCTGGTTTCTGATCACTTATACCAGTTTGTGTAATTTCTGCCCCTAGCTGTAGAGCTTGTTCAGTGGTTTTGTACCAGTTGGATCTAGTTTGAACTCAGGGTGATAAATTTCATGCATCTTTGACCATATATGAATTAATGGCCCTTTATGGCTACTGACTGGATTATTAAAGCTGGGCACAACACAGAGACTGTATTCTTCAGCATTAAATTCCTGTTCGTAATGAAATTTACCATCTGAAGATGAAACAAGGTCATTGCTCGTTTAGAACTTATTTTTTGAACTGTAGGTAAGATCATTTCGCTTATGTGCCAGGCACCTTTTAGTGATTTTTTTAAAAGACTTTAGAACTTAGTAGATTTAAGATAAATCTCTGTCTGTCTCAGGCGTTATAATGTTTATTTACTTTCAGGTTCATGACTGTTTTATCATTTGTAACCATAATAACTAGAATTCTGTTATTAGGCACTTGTGTGGCTTAGCTATTTACTGTACGCTAGGTTTTCTTATAAGCATTCCTTTGTGGTACTTGGTTTTGCTGTCATAGGCTGCTTGAATTTCTGTTGGTCCCCATACTTCCTCTGGGGATTAGCACTGGCCAGTCATTGTCCTCGTCACTTGATCTCATGTAAGGTCAAATTACCACTTGGGACACAGTCTAGTGGGTGACTCTAGTGCAACGTATGTTACATTCACTTCTCCTTATCTTAACTATATCGCTTTTATCAGTATAGGGCAGAAAATAAGGGGAAGATCACAAATAAAATTTAATATTAAAAATCCATCACAACTGTGCTTCCAGATACATGTACAAGCTCTTTCCTGCCTACTTTTCTCCATATTGTCATGTGCTTCCTTTTGCTCTGGGACCAAAGAGTGTGCCCATCTATTAGTCCTTGACTGAGTAAAGCACTCAGTCAGTCAGTCACCAATTTAAATGCCTGCTTTAAACTAACATAAATTAATGCATGTAGTGAAAGGGGGCCTCCCTAGCCCTTGTGAGAGGGCTCCTTTTTCTAGAATTCAAGCCCATTAATGCCCCAGAGAAGCCCCAAGAGCATCTTCCTGGTTTGGGTTTTGATAATGCTTTCTTTCCTTATGTTGCTGGCTTTTTGTTTCATGTTCAGATTTTATAATTTCCAGAACAGCCAAGTGCAGTAAAGTATTTTCCATGTAGGACGTAAAGGAATGCAATCAGAAAGAGTGGTTCGTAGAGATCTTGTTTGCCTCATTATCTTCATCATCTGTTTGAGAGAGTGCTTCATTTTGCCAGTAGAAACAGGTCCTTATTCTACTTAGTTATTGTCTAAAATAACACATGCAGTACAGGGCCTTACGACTTATGCAGCAAAACCAGTTCATACTGGATTTATTCATCTGCTTGTACCAAGGCACTCAAAAAGCCTTGTGCAGTTATGGCAGGCTTAAAATCTTACGCACAAAAAGTAACAGATTGTTTGGAAAAGTCCAGACAAAGCAGTTGTATAACAAACAAAGATTCTGTTAGTTCAGGACAAAAATAAAAGAAGAGAAATGAAAATCAGCATATTAACACAATTTCCACATTACAGCTTTGGAAGAACAATTGCATTCTTAATATAGCCACCTACAGGGAGATTTACTTTGCCCAGTGTTTCAGCAGGTATCAAGGAAGACACTTTGCTTCACAGGAATTATCCTCCCTAAAAGAGAAAGCATTCAGATTTCAAATTTGGGAATAACCTGATTCCAGTGAAAGGAAGTTAAGGAAATATGACTTCTTTATTTGACATGTTGGGACATCAGGTTTCACATCCCATGTCAGCCATACTCAACACCTGCCTGCCCCCTTTGTGATAAAGGAGACCCAATCCTGCAGGGGCATGCCCATAGGCAAAGTTGGTTTGTGGCGATTGGCATTTGTCTGTTGTCATTGCACGATCAGGGCTGAAGCACACGCTTCTACTGGAGACTCCAATTGTCTCTTTCTGCTCTAGTCAGCTGTTGAGCTACGTTTGGTTTCCTTATCAGTCTCCAATTTTCTTCTCTTGCAGAAAATTTCAGCACAGAAGTTGGACTCTTACAGCTGATTGGAGATCCTCCACCAGAGCAGATAACCAAAATTTATGGCCCTGACAACAATCCCGGCTATGTCTTTGGCCCTGATGCCAACACTGGTCAAGTGGCCCGATACCACTTGCCAAGCCCTTTTTATCGGGACTTTTCACTCCTGTTCCATATTCAGCCCACAACTAACAAGGCCGGTGTGCTCTTTGCCATCACAGACTCCTCACAGGCTGTTATTTACATTGGCGTTAAGCTCTCTGATGCAAAGGAAGGAAAGCAGCACATCATCTTCTACTACACAGAACCAGGGTCTCAGAGCTCATATGCAGCTGCCACTTTCACTGTGTCATCCCTCCTGAACCAGTGGACTCGCTTTGCTGTTAGCGTGGAGGATGAGGAGGTGGTGCTGTTCCTTGACTGCGAGGAATATGACCGGATTCGTTTCGAACGCTCCCCTGACGAGATGGAACTGGAGGATGGCTCTGGGCTCTTTGTGGGGCAGGCTGGAGGTGCTGATCCAGACAAATACCAGGTCAGTTCTCCAAAACCCCAGATAATGGCTTTCAATAAAATCACCCCCATAAAACTAAGAGGTGGAACCAGCATGTGTTGTTGGTGTATTACCATGTATGCAGCATCAACCAAACTCTTCAGCCATGTTTTGAATTACAGGAGTGTAGAGCAACAAATATGTGTGTGTGTGGGTGGGGGCCCCTGGAGTGGGGTGGGTAGTTGAATATTTTAAACCCTACATCCTTTAATAGGACTAGAGTAAAAAAGGTTGATGACGAGCCCCCTAAACTTGGCACGGAAATAGTCCCATTGACAGTGCTTTTCCCAGACATAGGCCGTGTCCAGATGAACACGGGCATGTGGTACCACATTCCCTCTGCTGATTCTGGGGTCAAAAAAACCCATGCCAAAAAATAAGGGCAGCACATGTGGCTGCAGTGCATGCTGCCCAAAACCAGAGCCTGGCCAGCTGGAGCCATGCTCCCAGCTTCAGGAGCAACATGGCTGCAGATCCCTGAGGTCCCCAGGACTCCAGGTAAAGCTGCTGGGGCCAGCACAGTTGCTGGCTGCAGCCTCCCCTACCCACTTGGGGTAACCTGCTGTGCACCAGAGGATGCCTGGCAAGGGTGTTCCCCAGGGACAAGTTGCTTGTGCCTCTGCTACTTGTCCTGAGAAAAACAAACATCCACACTCATGTGGATGTGGCCATAGAGGGCAAAATCAATTTTGATCTAAGAGCCATTTCTTAATGATTGTTCGCAGTCAAACATATCTGTGCATTTCTTTAGAAATTCTTTTACAATGGGAAAGTATGCTTCTCAAATCTGTGGATGGAAAAGTTAGTAAGGATTGTGGAATGCAGACAAGAGTGGGGAGGCAATGGTGTTACATTTTATCTGTCTATCACCTTTCTAGAATCCTTTCCAAGTCCCTGTGGGATAAGTGTACATTTATCATGAAGAGCAGTTTGAACGTGCACCCTTCTAAAAATACCTATCTTCTGCCTGCTCAATTGGCTGGTAAAACACTCTTACCTGGGAATGTGTTTTCCTTACACCAGAGCATATCGTTATTGTTAGATATTTGACTCTGTTTGCCAAGGTACTTAGAAATACTTAGAAGAGCAAGGAGAGAGGGTGACCAAGAGATCCACATTTTTAAAACTGATTGCATTTTAATAAGGATATTCAGTGTTGTAAATTAAACTCTTTAAAACATAGAATGTGATGCTTATGAATAAAGATATATATTTGATTTTTCTTGTAATCATGCAGTGAGTGCAGTTATAATTTTATGATGTCTCCCACCCAAAACAAAAATCTATGGGAACAACCATGATTGCTGCTGCTTTCTTAAATTCCCTGGCATCACTAAGTTCATTTCTTCGTTTTTAAACCAGTAATTCTCCACAGAGAACCCTTTAAGGGTGTTGTGCAATGTTAGTTCTCAAAACCCCTACATAGTATGATTGACAATAAATCTAGAGATTCTAAAACGAACTGTTCCAAACAGGAGATTTTACCACATCTTTAACTCTCCTATGAAATATGAACTTTCATTTCTACCTAGGAGAATGTTTACAATCTTTTCTCCTATGCCTGAAGAAGGGTGCTTGTGCCCAAAAGCTTGCAGTTAAAGATTTTTTTTTTTCAAAAATCTAGTTGGTCTAATAAAAGATATCACCTCTACCATGAGTTCTGAGATTTTAAATAGGAATTCATAGTGCCAGAAACATTTTGACCTGTTGTAGTATGTGCTGAAGTCTTTGAGCTCCTTGCAACAGAAGAATTGCTCTGTTTTGTTTCTGTAGTCCAAAAATGAGTGAAAGCAAAGAGCTGACATTTTATGAAGGGTCCCTTGAGTGTAACAAAGCTTGCCCAGAGATGAAAAAGGCTGAAAACTACTGGTTTAAACATTGTTTGGGCTGTCATTCAGACTTAACTAGATTTTGGGGAAAAGGGAAGGAAAGCTGCCTAGGGAAACAAGTGTTAACAGTTCATCAGATGAACAACAGCTTGTTTTCAGATTCCTTCAGACCCTGCATTGGCCCCTGGTGGGTCCGGACGTTAATGTTTCACATTCTGAAATGAGCCTTGGACCCAGTATTCAATAGTGCCGTGCCACTTGGCTGAATAAATATGTCTTATACAATTAGGCTTGTTTCCTTTGTTAGATGTAAGAACCTGTTCTGTTTGGAAAACAAAGGAAATAAAGTCAGAAAAACCAGCAGAAAAGAAAATAGAGTGATTTAGACCTTTCTTCTAAATGACAAATTTCCCTTCCCTAAAACAACCATCAGCACTGTTGCAGAGGAGCTTGTACATTGCTGGTGATCCCAGAGTTTCAGAAAGGTGCTAATGCAAATACAAAGTGCTTCTCCCCAGCATCTGTCATTAGAGTCACTGATTTCAATTTCCCAGCTACTCGCCTTAGTGATTATTGGCAGCGCTCATGGGAGTTTTGGGGTGACTGCCATTTATGTACAAACTTGCCATTTGGCTGTCTCACTGTAAATGGAGGTGGAATAGATGGATGTTGATCCTCACAGTGTCTAATTTAGGACTTGTATCAAGAAAGAAGCAGCTAAAAAATATAAATAATGCCAGTCAGCAGGGTTGCACGGAAGATAAAAGCCAAGTTTGTCTGACAACTTCTATAGGAGGCAATACACCTGATTGGTAGAGGTGGCTGTGTTGATACAGCATACCTGGATTTCTCTAAGGCATTTGACCTTTCCATTAAAAAACTTGTACAGTAACGGACTAACCAAGAACAGATCAGATTAAAAATAGTCTTTCAAGCTAATAATGTCATTTTTTTTTAAGGGTGAGAGATCAGTGAGTTTGGCTGTTTTTAATGGGTTCCCCCTGGGATCAGCTCTTAGTTCAGAGCTACACGGTAAGTTAACCAGTGGTCTGGACAGTCTTTTCTGGTGAAGTTTGCACATAAAAGAAAGACTGTTGAGGCAATAATCTGCGTGAAGGCAATAATCTGTGCAGAGTACATGTTACTGTTAATGAGTGATCTGAGATTGCCTGGTTAAATAGTCACAATCCAGCAGCTATCTCGGTGTGACGTGTCTGTACCATACTGGGGCAAAAAAAGGCTAATGCAATTCTTAATTTTATAAAGAGGAAATAGCAGGTAGAAGGGGAGAAAGTGATCTTACCTCTGGTGAGACCATTTTTGAAATTGTGTTCAGTTCTGGTGGAGCTCAATTTTAGAAGTGGGAAGAATGGGACTCCCTACAGGGTCTTCAGCATGCCCATAACAGTAACCCCCAGAGAAGGGGTTACAGAACCAAAATGCTTTTTCCCCTAAGCTCCAAATGCTGAACTCTGTACTGAGACTCTTACTGGAGAGCCCAGCACCTGTAGAACGGTCATGGCCAACGTCTCTGTGCCTCTCCGTGCAGCCTAGAGCACAGAGTGCATGCAGCAGAGCCAATGCCAGAAGAAAGCACCATGATAATTTGGTCTCCACTACAGTATAGGTGGTTAACTCTTTGAATTTTGAAAACCCCAGTTGCAAACTATGCTCAAGTGATGGGCAGGGCAAGGTAGGGACTTCCACATTCATTGCTGCTTACTGACTAGCAAAAAACTAGATTCCTTCTAACTGCTGTGAACAGGCGAATGTCTGTTCCTCTTTGCTTCTGACGCTTGTGATTTTGCAGAGGAGCCAGGATTGTATTTTTGGCATTAAGGTTGCCAGGAATACCTCCAGTGTAAGATGGAAGAGTCTGCAGCTTAGATCTCTATGTAACAGTGTGCTGGGTTGCATTTGTATGTTATAACAGACACTCTGCTGATTGGGCCAGAGGCACACACACCTTTTGGGTGGAAAGCGGCCAGTGACATGAGGCAGTGTTATGGGTATCACCAAAACTTAGGTTAGAATTCCTGAGATTCTGAAGTGTGAGTTTATTTTGATTCAGTCTTAAAAACCCTGCATTTTCACCAATAACATCATGTTAGCAGAGATTCATAGTTTGTTGTAAGGCCAGAAGGGACCTTGGAAGATTATTGGGTCCAGCCCCCTGCACCAAGCAGGAAAGATAACTGGGGGTCAGGTGACCCCAGCAAGGTGACTGTTTAGTCTCCTCTTGAGAGATCACCATTGAAAAAACTGCCGATTAGATGAAGCTATGAGAGAGACCACCCTGGTTAAGCTTCTAGTCTAAGGCTAATACCCAAAAGGTTGTTTGACGTATGATTCAGCTCTGCCTTCCTCAGAAGCCCATTCCCTTTAAGCTACCACTTTTGGGGGAAACCCCAAGTGGGAACTTCAGAGGGGTTTAAGTGTTCAGTGATAAATTGATTATTTGAAGGTGAAACTGCAACACATGACAATAAAATTAATCCATGGGCAGATTTGACCAGTCAGGAGGTTTTAGTTGCCTCTGGGAAGCAGTTGAAAAATCTTTGCAAAGAAGTGCATCTTAAAACCACTAACCCATTGAAGCCACCTTAAAGCCACTGTGAATAAGTGTATTATTAAGTATACCTTAGCACCTTATAATCAGTGTTCCTGGACTGTGAGTGATAACAGTACTACTGTTTCTGTTCTCTTACTGGTTTCCTATCTGAGGCTGCCTTGCCATAGGCTACATTGACTCCAGGGGAGGGGCCAGGCAGGTTGTGTCGGCCAGAGTTCCTACCAATAATTCTCTGGGGGGTGGAGGGCGTGATTGTCCTAGTGGGCATCTTCCATTGGGTCTGCCAGCAGCCTCATGACCATGCAGAGCAGGGGCATTCATAACCCAAGCACCTTTCCCCTGTGTTTTGCCAAAGAGTTGAGCTTCCATGTTTTCTACACTTGACCTTTCCGCCCCCATAACCGTCTAGTTCCATGCAGTGCAGGCAGGAAGCAGGGTACGGGAGGGCTGCCAGGATTCACTTGACTTTATGCCTTAGTCCCTGCAGTTTTCAAGGGAGGAATGAGTGAGGAGATGGCAATGCTTCTGAGAATAGCCACCTGTCTAGTCCCAGCACAGGGAGCCCTGACCATGCAGCGTTG